GATAGTCGTACTGTATGTTTGCGTTCGTTTTTGTACAATTACTGGTGGACGTATGACATGATTATTTTTCAAAATATTTTAAACCTCCAAAAGTCAAATACTAATATAATTAATAATAAATTATAAAATGTATTTCTTCTAAATTTATATTGTACCTTTTGTATATAAATTTAACTTGTTTATATTATGGAATTTAATATTCGGTACAGTGTGCTTTGATTTTAAATGTTTGCAAGTTTTCGAATGCATTTCCTTCTTTTATGTTGAACAATAAAATTATTTCATCATTTAGTATTCAATTTATTCATTTCTGTGTGAAATTGTAATACACTTCTCTTTTTTTATAAGAACCAGTAAAATTTTGCCCAGACTCAGTCTTCTTATTTTTTGACCGATTTCAGACTCAAAATGTTCTTATTTTGTTCTAATTTTAGACAGTTTTCAAACGTAAAAAATTATTATTGTACAACATTTCACTGTACTGGAAGTTAGGTAAAAGTGGCCCCGGAAAAATAGGCCCAGAAAAAAGGCTCCGGTAAAAATGGCCCAAAAATACAGTACACCTACTGGCCTACTGTTTTGCATAGTCGCACCTACACATAAGATACAGATATTTGTTGGTTTTTCTAGTTTTATAAAAAAAAAATCCCATTTGATATTTTACCTCAATTTGTCCTTATTTTGTTCTTAATATTTAAGTAATTTCAGCCTCAGTGTTCTTATAAATTAATGTGTTATATAAAAAAATTGTACTGTATGATTATCTTATGACAATGGAGAGGTTTTGTCCAGTTTTTTCTCCACTTTTGCTTCAGCGAGCTCATTTGAGGTCAAATGTCTTCGCTGTGTTGGTTGGTTTGTTCCATTGTCGTGTAAGGGTGTACTAACAAAATTGATCATTCAGTAAATAATTAGTGTCATTCTATTAATTAAACCTTTATTTACTGATATATGCTTGGCATTTATATTATAATAAAAAAAATATTAGGAGTATGAAGGCTATGCGTAAACTGACATACCACCGACTTCTTATGTTACTATGTTTCATATTGGCATATACTGGTCACAAATGAGGTCATTTTAGCGACCTGTAAAGCCAAAAGATTTTTGGAAGGACTATATTTTGCTTTTATAAGTGAAACTACTCAAGTAATCATGTTCACTTTTTTTTATCAGTCTCGTGCTAATAAAATTTTCTCCAAGAATCTGTTTGGGCCGTTTCAAACAATAAAACGGTTTGCGAGTGAGAGCGAGAGAAACAAGCTTAAAACCGCCAAAAACTTGCAATTTCCTAATCAAAATAGCGAGAAGAGGTCTCATAAAACGACCGTGTCCGGTAAAACTACAACAAATTTGTTTTTTTTATTTTTCAAGTTTTGTTGGAAAATTGATTTTCAAAGCATAATCCACCTAGGCCGTTATTTGAAAATCATATACAGTACTGTAGGTAAAACGTACGTACTTTTCTCCAATTGTTAAGGCCGAAAAAGGTACCGTAACAATGGAGACCAAATGGGACAAATGTCCATATACCTAACTAAAGGTCAAGGTTGACAGTATTGCCACCTTATAACCACTGAAGCAAATACCCCAACACAATTCAGTAATTATCCTACTGACGTGATTAGTTTGGGCTTGGCAATTATTGCTTTAGACTTTATCTGAGATTCCATAGAAAATGCAACAACGATTAACTTTTCCGAACCACCGTGGTATATTTTTATGCCTACTTTGTGCTGTCGTTCTATTGATTCTTTCGCAGCAGCTTATACGGATGCCAGTGTCAAAATTTAATGTGAGTTACAAACGTACAGAAGCATATTTCAATTAAAAATGTGGATAGGATTTTGTTACTAAAGGGCACAACAACAATAATTATATCATATTGCTTGAAAGCTGACTGCTTGGCCCTTTTTCTTATTATTTAAATGTATTTACATATATATACATATCT